ACTAACAATACACTGACCACCAATGTTGGGGGTTAATTCACTGCCACAGCTGTGACCACAAATGCGGGGGTTAATTCACTGCCACTGCACTGGAGGAGTTTAATTCATTAAAACTGTACTGACTTTTAATGTGTTGGGTTAATTCACTGCCACTGGTAAAAAATGAAAATGGTTTGTATTGTGGCATGAAAATCCAATGCTTGAAAGTGGAACTGTGAGAACACTTGCTCATTATAGCAAACTTACTTATGACTTTGCCCTTCTTCAGTAATGAAAGGTCCGTTATCTACTTTGCTGCCATCCTCTTTGGTACTTCTGCATCCAGCGACTTCCTTCCTCTGCCATTGGGCGATCAGTGATGTCGCAACTACCCCTCATTTATGATGAACTTGCATTATGACGGCACTCGGCTTATATGAAAACCTAGACAGTGCTTTGCAGTGCAGGCAGGATACATTTTAAAAACCTGCTAGGAGGGAGGGAAAATCCTTCTGCAAAAGACGCATGCAAAGTCTCTTCTACCAAAAAAAAAAAAAGTCTGCCAACAAAATTTTTTTTTATTTCAACTTGACAAAAATATTACCTGCCTTACCGATAATTTAGACTCAATTTGGTTTTGCTGGAAGACAACACAGAGACTTTGACTTTTTCTGCTATGTTGTCACCCTTTCTAAAAAGCAGAAAGTATGTCAGACCCTGTATAAGGCTGAATGTCCCTCCTACTGCAGTGCAATATGTTCCCTTCGGAATGCCCCAGTCTGTGAAGGCAGGCTCGCTCAGTGTACTATGGCAGTTTGTTCTAGCTTATGGTGCTATACAAGATTAAAAAAAGTACATTATCTGAGTCTTTCAGACCTACTTTAAATGGCTCATTTACACAAAGCGTAAAACACTGGTAGACTGAATCGCCTTAATGTTTCTCAGTTTTCAGATAATACAGTGACAAGGTTTCCACATAGTCTTACCCACTCGCAGAAGCCAATAATGATTGAATCAGTTCATTTCAACTGAATTTCCCAAATATTATCTGATTCTACAATTCGATATCTGCAGGGGAACATTATGTCATCCTTT